ATTTAATTCAATTTTAATTTTAATTTAATTAAAAAAAAATATTTATTAATACTTTATTTTTGTTACTATTTTGAATTTTATTAATTTACTTTAATTTAAAATAAAGATAATTAAAAGTTTGGAATACTTAATTTTTTTGTTTACAGAACTTGGATGAAATGCGAGAGTAGCTGCACTTTGGTGTAATATTATAAAATATAAGCCTTTGTCGTTTAATASTACTGCTCTCTCTTTGCGCCTCAAACGCTAGAAGTTCGTATTCTACTGAGACGGTAGCTGCCGTCTAAGCTTATGCATATTAGATGCGTATACGGACATAATTATTAACTATGAATAGCGCCATAGGAGGCGGCTAAAATCTAATAACTCTAAACGTTGGCCACTGGGCACAATTATACCACAATGTATAGGTACAACTGCGTTACTCGCTGGGTCGGAGTCTGTGCTCACATAGCTGCAGGGCGTTGTTKTYACTGGACACTGATACACGAGTATTCCGATTCCCGACACGGCCGTCRCTCACCTATTAATCTCAATAAAATTATATTTGATCATAACTGGGTAYCGGCTAATATTTCATTCATAATCCATACCATCAATTGATATTAAATTTAAGTATTAGAACATATTATTATGCAAGTGTGGTCACCTCTTATCAAAACTGCCACCTACCCGTTAAGTATTAAAAAATTTAATTTTTAAAATAAAAATATCAGAAATTTTAAGATTTTAACAATATTGAAGTTGAAAAATTAATTCAAAATGTAAGAAATAAGTTTTCAAGTAAGCTTAATGACAAATKCAAATGTTTCTAGAAATTGTATTAGATATATAGGTATAAATATAAAATATATAATTAAATATTGAATTCCTATTTAATAAAACGATGCATACTTATTTTTCATTCATTTTAGACCATTAGACCATTAAGTGATGATAAATTACTTAGGAATACAAAATTAAAATTTTTAATATATGTATTATGTTTTTGATAAATATCTAGACTTTTTAGGGAGTCAATTTTCAATTTTCAGTTTTAAACGACCATAAAATTAAAATATATATTTTTTTTTAACCCCATGAAATAATTGTATTACATTGGTGTTTAATTTAGACACACCTGATTTTAAATAAAATCAATTTCTAAAGAGCTATTTTATAATAGGCGTCAACAACCTTTTTTCTTACGCAGGTCAACTTATTTATACTAGCTTTTCATATTTTACACATACAAAATTATAATAAATGTTATTTGAACTATATTTTTAATTTACAATTTATGCTAATATATTTATGGTACTAATTTTGAATTAAATTCATTAATAGAGAAAATTTAAAAACAATTAGTAATTAMTTCATGAGAAATATTTAGTTTTTGACTTTTTGGTATGATAATAATTATGGATAGGACGAATTTTTCTCGATAACTTGTTAAATGTTTATGTACGCTTTCGTATTAGATGTCGATTCTCGTCCATGTTTCTTCACCCGCTATTTTGCAGTCTACATGTCTGACAACATATGTCTTCAACTGCAATTGATAAATGTATTTATGTGGACCATCCCTAAGGCAAAAAAATTCATTTTTAACACCTCTCCAAAGTCTTTGTTATTTTTRTTAATGATCTTCAGTTTGTGGTAGAAGATGAATGTTGTTTGTAGTTGATCTAACATGAATTGTATTTGTCTGACTTGAGTTGTAAGTGATCTAATATTCCAACTGTTAAATCATTAATTCAGCTACGATGAACCTTCCTTCAGAAGTGTTGGCATTGGCTGTTGGTACATTGGCTGCAGAACATCTCCCATTGTTGTGATACAAATTTTAATGTAGTTTTGTTAAAGGGAGTTGAGAAGATTTTCGTCACTTCTCTAGCGTTTGGTGTTGTTGAACACGGTACAATGATGTTGTTAGCTCAAAGGTTGAAAAATTAATCACAATTCGTGGAGTCTTACAATTTATCAAATTTTATTTCTACTCATAGTAATTTTAGTTTGAACTTGATAAGACTACATCAAATTCCATGTACAATATAATTATATAGGTCCCTAGCTTCATGAAAACTGTTATAGGACAAGAGTTGGTAGTTAAAAATAATGGTATTAATAGCTATCAAAAACACAGTAGGTGGTAATTTTTCAAGCCTACCTAACTTAATTCTATGTATTTGAAATAGTAAATGAACTTACCTACTTTAGATATTGTAAATATCTTTAATCATTATTAAAGATTGAATATTTGAAAAATAAAAGACAGCTAGGCATATCCTAAGTGAAATCCAAGAAATACCGGTGTGTTTTGCACGTGTGTTCTACAAAAAAAAAAAATATACATATATATATATATTACATTTAGCTTAATACAAGTAAATTTTTAACAAATGTAAAATTATACTGATTGTAAAAGTACATTTTATAAAATGTTTGTTATTGGTGAGGATCAAATTATATTATTTAAAATAATTTAAGAATATTGAACCCTTTTT